TAAACTAACCTAAGTGTTAGTATTGATTAATTTCTACATCTACTTCAACCTAAACTTCAAGAATTAAGCTAATTCCTAAATCAATTCAAACTAAAACCAAGGATTAAGTCTAATTCCTAAATCAATTAAATCTAAATCTCTAATTCAATTTTATAATTATATAAACTATGTTATCTAATCCTAATTATGTCAATAAACACCTAATTGTATAATTTCACAATAATCAATTCAAGAATAAGAATTAATGGAGGTTAGTGATGTTACCTCTTGGAGAAACACTTGAAAAGGGAAGAAGATGAAAATGAGAGGTGATGCTATCCGGAACGAGGATGTCACGCAAGAGAGGAGAAAGGCGCGTGAAGGAGATGCGCACGGAGAAGCCGGACGGAGGAGAAGAACCAGACGGAAGAAGCGTCGGAGCAGAGGAAGTCGCATAGGGAGGTGCAATGTCACACAAAGAAGAGGGATGCAGCGGAGGGATCATGCACGATGAGAGGCCAGACGGAAGGAGCAAGGTTGCGCCAGAAGTGGTGGTATCCGGTGATGAGGTTGTTGTCGCTTGAGTGTGAGGTTGTCGCTGGAGGGAGGAGGTCCGGTGGTGGTGCAAGAGAGGGAAGTTTTTGTACTCTTGTGGGAGAGAAGAGAATATAGAGGGAAATGAAACTAGAAATAATGATCCTCCTTTTTTGAAATTTGGTGGTAAAAACAATATATAGTGTTGTTAAAAAAAATCAATTTTTCAGCTTATTTTCCGCTTAAGTGAAAATTATATTGTCATCCGCAAATCTTTCCGAACGCGGACCTCCTGTGAGAATATGCGCCTGAGTCACGGATGTTACCCAAAAAGAACAGACGCTTTCTGATAAAAATTGAGTGAGTTCGTTATGCTTAAGTGGTGAGACGTCACTGTCAAAAATTAATTAAGTCAAAATATCAGCTTATTTTACCTTCAACACTCGAACAAACCACGAGCCCGTGCCCGAAAAATAGAATCTCGTCTCGACTTTTCCAGAAGAAATATAGATCTCCGCATCCCTGACATTGTGTAAAAAATGAGAACCATCTGACAAACGAGGAATTTATTATGAATTTTCCAGTGGAGCGACGTCCAGTCTTTTTTACTGGTCCGAAAACTCTGTTTTTGCAGAATAAACCAATAACGGAGATGCTCGGGCTACCGTTTGATTTCAAGATCTGAATAAAAGTTGAAGTAGACAAAATTCTTGAGCCAAAGTTTTGAAAACTGGCGCGATATGGTAAAAATGAGAGAGTTATGAATTTTTGAATATTGGAAATCGAACTGACAGACTGTAAATTCTGCTCAAATATTTTCTCAGGAACTCGAAATTCCCACCACTTTTCATGTAGAATTAACTCGTGGTCATAACATACGGCGTCAAGATAACATCGAAACGGAATTCCGGGAACTGGAATCGCACTCATGTGGTACTCCAATTGAGAGTTATGAATTTTTAATTGTGCCTGAAACAACAGTTCAGTCAACTTTTACCAGTATTTTGCACTGTTTAAGCTCTGACAGATTTGCATATCCGGAGACCATTCCTCGAGAACTAGCCTTCGGCCCGAACACAGAAGTTATGGAGAATATCGAGGAGGATTGAATGGAGAAGGAACCACCTCGAAGCGGTACACCAATTCAGAGTTATAAATTTCTGAATACCAGAAATACCGTTGATCGGTAACCCAAAAACTCAATAACAAAATAATTTGACCATCTTAAATGCATAATTGGCTCCCGGCCCAAACACGAAACATGAAGATGATATCCACACGGACCCGATGGTAAAATATCAACTCAAAATAATACTCTGGATTGAAGTTAGAAATTTTTGAAGCTTGTCGCGCCGAACCGGACTTTCGACCTGAACTGTCTCAAATTCGATGAAAACTCTGGCTTACATCTACCACTCGAGAGATGATAGAACACATTGATATCAATCATGATAGAGAATCTTCATTCACCACCTGGATGTCTTGTATAAATCCCTAAGCACCTCCGGTAATAGTGAACAAAAATGCCCTGATCCCATAACAACACGACTAATGAGATGCACATATGTATATGATAATGAAATATAAGCCAAAATAAATTCGAAATGAAGAGGATAAATTTTGGGGTACGATACATAATATTGTATCTCCAAAAGCGTGTATCCGATCCATCAGAATGGATCTTTGTGGCAAAAGAAATTCAAACATGCATACGAAGTGTAAGCCAGATCGGGTACCTTACACGAAAGACATGAATCATTCAAAGAAAGCAATACATCCCCGAAAGAGGATATCACTCCCAAACCCCCAACTGACGTCCTTCGTTATATCACGATATCCTGCTAGTGGTGTCAATTTCCCAAACACTCATTCATGTTAGCTTTTCCAAATACTCGCATGTGTCTATTTTCCTTCCAGACCCAATAAAATCAATACAGTCAGTCGCCCCTTATACCTTTAGTCGTCGGGTCGTAATCAATGTTCTCACCTTCTTAAGATTGTAGGCCGTCTGTAGACCTAGCTCTCCTCCTGTAGACCGTCTATAGGTATCCCCTAGTAGATTACCCATAAGTCTCGCTTTAGGATTGTAGGTCATCCGTTGATCTAGCTCTCCCCTTATAGATCACATGTATGTCTCCCCTAGCAGATCGCCCATAGGTCTCGTTGTAAGATCATAGATCATTCGTAGATCTCATCTGTTGTCTTTTCGTACCAATCTTTGTCTGTATTGACATCACGCCATGTTACAAGTCTATCTTTGTCTTGTATTGGCATCATGCCACGTTACGGGTCTATCTTTGTCTTGTATTGACATCACGCCACGTTACAAGTCTACCTTTGTCTTGTATTGGCATCACGCCATGTTATGAGTCTATCTTTATCTTGTATTGGCATCACGCCACATTACGAGTCTATCTTTGTCTTGTATTGGCATCACGCCGCATTACGAGTCTACTTTTGTCTTGTGTTGGCATCACCCCACGTTACGAGTCTATCTTTGTCTTGTATTGGCATCACACCACATTAAGAGTCTATCTTTGTCTTGTATTGGCATCATGCCACGTTACGAGTCTACCTTTGTCTTGTATTGGCATCACACCACGTTACGAGTTTATCTTTGTCTTGTATTGGCATAATGCCCTATTACGAGTCTACCTTTGTCTTGTATTGGCATCACGCCACGTTACGAGTTTATCTTTGTCTTGTATTGGCATCACGCCACGTTACAAGTCTATCTTTTTCTTGTATTGACATCACGCCACGTTACAAGTCTATCTTTGTCTTGTATTGGCATCACACCTTGTTACGTTTCTATCTTTGTCTGGTATTGGCATCACGCCACCTTACGAGTCTACCTTTGTCTTGTATTGGCATCACGCCAAGTTACGAGTCTATCTTTGTCTTGTATTAGCATCACACCATGTTACGAGTCTATCTTTGTCTTGTATTAGCATCACGCCATGTTACGAGTCTATCTTTCTCTTGTATTGGAATCACGCGACTTTACGAGTCTATCTTTGTCTTGTATTGGCGTGACTGCCACGTTCCAGGTGATTACCTTTCCTTGTATTAGCATTGTTGCTATGTTACAAGTCAGTCTTTCTCTTGTGTTAGCATCATCGCTACGTTATAAGTTACCCTTAAATGTTTCTCACTAGGAAAAACAGAAAAAATTCTTTCCCCAGCAGATATCACAAAAAATTATGATAACAAACACTCACACTTTCTTTCAGAACAAATTTTTGGAATTGGTATTTAATCATCTTCTACTCGAACGTCCAAAAGGCACGCGCCAATCGTACTTTCAGGTTTAAGACGATTAAAAAGGGGCAGCTGTAATACCCCAAATTTGTCCTACCCTTTTATAAGGATCATATGGCTTATGCATCTCATCATCTTCATGTGTATAGCATCCATTAGGTCATCTAACATATCATGTATTCACTAACCACAAGGTTTGGCATGGGATCAAGGATATGGAAGAATTAGGGTTTCTTTGTACTTTTAGGCTCTCGTCTTCATTCAAGGGTTGATTCAACTAGTTTGTTCATCAGTCATTGTTTTGAAGCTAGAGTCTTGCGTTCATGGTCATTGAAAACTCCTTTCTCTCATTAAGCTACAAGGTTGTCATCTTCATCAAAGACAGGATCATTAGGATTTCACTAAAGGTTTAAGTAAAGACTATGTGAGCTAGGGTCTAAGTTCAAAGTCATCTTGAGTATCTTCTTCAAGGCATTGTTATTCTATTGCTCATATAGTCGAGACATGGTACAAGATGTGAATTGTAATCAAGGAGTCATCTTTCAAATTGTTTGTTTCTTGTCATGCGAGCTAATTTGGATTGACGTTGGTGTGGATTTGAGAATAAAGGTTTCATTGATTTTTGAGATGATTCAAAATATTCATTCAAGTGATAATTTAAACTCAAAATTTGATCAAAGTTGTCAAGATTCAATTCGTGCAAGATTGAATGTTTTAGGTGGATTTCTTGATACTCAAAAAACAATGGCAGACTTCATTTTTCATCCATCCCAAGTTATCAAAGTTTAAGGCCTCATACAAAGGCATGATGCAAAATTTATCATGGTTCTAACAAGGGCTTCATTTATTAAAATTGCAAAAGCCATTCATTATCATCCACGGCACCTAAGCATAAATACAATATTCATCATTTTGTTCTAGGAGACCTATTCCTTCATGATACATCAAAATAATTCAAATTCAACATTGTCCATTTTCAATTTTTGAAACAAATTCCAGCAAGTCCCATATGCAAAAATCAACTTCATTACATTACAAATCCATGCTCTTGCAAAAGATATTCTCAGTTGAAAATTATATCAAATGAAAACTTGGTCATCACAAGGAACAAAGTCCTAAAGATCTAAAACCAAAATTCTTCCTCAACTTTCATGCTCCATATTCAACAAGATCGTCATGCCTTATCTCTTCCCCATGCTTCATCTATCATCATAACCATACTGCCTTCAAAGTTGCAGCATATGGTTGGAATTTCTGAATCTCAAAACCAGACCTGCTACACCATTAAAACACCATATCAAAACCCCATGCTTCTATTCTTACAATGTACATCAAGCCCAAACTGTCCCAGCTCATAGCAACAAAAACCAGAAAGTGAGGGAAAAGAGTCAAAACCAGAAACCAGATCCAAAAAAGATTCAGCAATACACTTTGTTCTGTCCAAGAAATGCCCTGTTCAAAATAAGAAAAGAATTCATAAGAAAGCTTTTTAATCAGAGCAGAAGAAAAATGGAGTGAAGCTTAAAACAACATAAACCATGTTACTAGACCTGCTGCATTGAGGGCTTCGTAGTAATTTCCAAAGTTTTTACGACCTAATTAGACTGATTCAATTAAATATACCATAACAGAAAAATAGAAAGGAGAATATTGAGTTCAGTCGTATCAGTTGAGAAGAAGAAAATCAGAAAACCAAGTTGTCTAGCATCAATCATAAACCAGAACTGCATAAGTGTTTGGCAACATTAAATCACAGAAAACAGAATAGCCAGCTCCTAACTCATAAAACAAAAACAGAAATGATGAACAAGACTTACTGTATTAGTTCAGACTCTGAGTTTGTGTCGAAACAGACTTGTATCATTCATTTCTAGCTTGAGAAATATGCATAAAATGGAGCTACGAAACTCGATCAGCATACGTACATTAGCAGCCCCGCAAGCTCTAACCAAAACCTACGTATATCATAACAAAAACAGTTAAAAAGAACCATTGCCCTGCATATTAAGAAAGTATTCAACATTTTACACTCAATAGCTCATGAGTAAAATCCAATAACTGTCATAGAAAATTTAAAATAGAGACTTTGGAGCTTTTAAATCGAGTTTTTCCTCCATTTTCTCTTCTCTCAAATTCCTCTCAATTTCCATTTTTCCTTGAGTTCTTCCACCCAGATTAACTCCTTCCAAACAAAGCATGTAGACAGTTTAAAGTAACCTCCAACTGAATCCAAACAGATAACTAACCGCATAACAGAACTTCCAACTGACTAAATCTGACTCTCCATTTTCTTAACAGCAAATCAGTTCTAACAGAATAAACATCACATAACAAACTCAATCTCAGATTGAATGTCCATCCTTTATCATTAACAGAACTAACTTTTCCAACTCTAACATTTATAACAGAAAATCAAAACTTCTAACTAACTTTTATTCGATGTCAGCTCAGCAATAGACTGAAATAAAAGAATTCCTAACAGCTCTAACAAACTCTCCAACAATTTGCAACTAACCCAATCCTCACCCTCTATCTTCTAACTAACTTCTCTAGATCCAATGGCTTAGAAGCTCTTTCTTCAACTATATAAATAGAGCCCCCTCTCCAATTCACTACTCACATACTCTTTTCTTTTCCATTTTCACTCTACCTTCATCCTCTCTCTCAATTCTTCATCTCTCACCTTCATCTTCTCCGCAACTTCTCCTAATTCTTTGTTTGAATGGAAATCGGAGATGTTAAGTGTCTGGTGCGTGTGTCATGATGGGTTGCGGTGGTGAACGATCAGAAACAGAGCATCGCGCAGAAGGTGTGAGTCGAGTGAAGGAGACAGAGACTCCGACGAGGTAATGCAAATGAGAAACGAAACGAGGAGTGAGATGAGCATCGCAAGATGAATATTATGGTGGCCAGAGGGAGTTTTCATGACGAAGGTGGAGTGGACGTTTGTAGAGGGCGATGAGCGACACTAATTTGCAAAGAAGAGGATGGGTTGAAGTTTCTGTTTCACGATTGAAGGCCGAGAGTCACAATTTTTTTTTAAACCCTAGCCCCTTTGCACTGAAACGACATTGTTTCCTTTCCTTGACATTTTTCTTCTCTTTTTTTTTTAACTCGAAAATTTGATTAATGTTGGAAATTGAGAAATGATTGGGCCATGTTGTTACTTGACCAAGAGTGGATCCTTGTGCCTTTATTACTGCAGACACTTCCACTGAGGTTGTTTCACATTTTTTTTGGCACACTTGTAGTATTGGAATAAAAACTGGCTATGGACTATTTCTGTATGGGCTTAGTGCCATGTTTTTACAACCCTTGGATCCAAATTGCACACCTCCTGTGTCTCTTATTTATTTTTATAATTTTCTTTTAGTTTTAATTTCTTCTTTCATAATTTTTTATAACAAAAATACATAATAAAAATGGTAAAAATATTCAAAGACATTTTAGAAATTAACTAGGAATTTATTTTCCCCTTTGCTAACTTTTTACTCAATTTTAATCACAAATTTTATTAATTTTATGTCATGTATTCGTTTGCGATTTTAGGTATTATTTTGGTATGGATTGTATGCAGTACTTTAATACTTGTTGCCCGATTTTACTTGTTTGTATGTTCTTTCATGATCTCTTAGGTGATTTTGGTTCAAATTTAATCTTTGATTAAATTGAACTAAAATTAGACATTAGGATTTTAAATCCAAGCATGCTAACATTAGGTAGAATTCCCTCTCAATCTCAACTTTAGGTCCATGATGCATGATAACATTAGGAATAGAATCTCCCTTAGATTTTTCATTCCCTTTTTGCATCCTTAAAAACAAAAACTTCTTTTTTTCTTTCAAACTTCAAAACACTTAAAAATTACTGATGAGAATCATACCTTTGTTGAGTATGAGAGATGATAAGTGGATTTCTTCTCGATCTTATTGTTCTTTCATTTTAGGCTTTGGTGTGATTCAAGTCTCAAAGACTCCTTTCATGAATAAGTGGAGAAATGGCTAATATCTCTCTCTTGAGATCAACTAGCTATTATCCCAACAAAAAACACCAACGAACGCAAACTCTTTTTCGCCTCTGAGCCCTTTCTTTCAAAACTTTCAAAAAAACATGTTAATTCACTTCTGTGCTAACCCACAAGTCTCCAAAGGTCGAGTTGCGGGAGAAGGCGGAATTAATATTGTTCAATAAAAAACACAAAACAAACAAAACACATGAGTCGAACTACGGCGCTGTGATTCCTCGAAAGGGATACGTAGGCAACAGGTCGCGGGGCCTAACTGAACAAAATTCGTAAATACTTCCTTCTTTTCTCCGTATTTCTTTTGCATGCATCCTTCCTCAGTAGTAAGCAGTAGACATAGATTAAACATATTCATAAGATAGATAACAAGAGTGGATACCGTAGAGTACTACGGGCGTGCAGGATGCTAATACCTTTCTCTCGCGCAACAGACTCTCTTACTCGATCTCTTGGTCGCAAGACGGTGACTTTTCTCTTCTCAGGTTTTCTCAATGTTCACCTTTTCCTTCATATGAGATAAAAGACGTTTGATGACGACTTCATTGTTTGATGGTGTTCAACCGGTTGTTTCAAAAGAGAATGCGTTTTGGTGACCAAACTTTTCTTTCCGAATGTCCTTATAGTTAAAAAGGCAGAAATAGAAGCTGAATCAAAGTACTTGGGCGGAGTTGGTGTGGCAAGACAGCGACAAGCTATCATGGATGTCTTAAGAGAGAACATCTTGCAATTCTCTACCAAGGTAGAAGGAACTTCGGGAAAGGAAGTAATGGATCTTATCATGATTACTCGGTATTTTGACACAATTAGAGACCTTGGTAACTCTTCAAAGAATACCACAGTTTTTATACCTCATGGACCTGGCCATGTTAGGGATATAAGTAATCAAATTCACAATGGAATGATGGAAGCATCATATGCTCAAGTAAATGATGATGAGTAAATTTGTAAAATTGTCTTTTATTACACACTATATTACTACATATAATATTGATGTATGGATTTGCAATATGTTTCTGTTGGATTTTATGGAAGTACATTTTGAATAGTTTTAAGTTGTAATTAAGTTAGTTGAGTTGTTCTGTACAATCTCTGAAGCCATGCTATACATTCCTTGAGGACTACTAATGTGAAGTGTCTAAGCAATGCAGAGTTGTTTATTGATTCGTAAGCAACAAACAAACTACTACATATGCCATTTCTATCATCTATTACAACTTTGTTAATTGTTGCTTGCTATGAAATTTATAGGATTGATATATCGGGCGAGCTTACCCTCAGGAATATGTACAACGCTGTGGTAGGGATGCAGCAAGCGCAGAAAAATCTACTGTGAATTTGTACTAATCATCTTAATCCAACCTCGGTAATTGTAATCATATGATAGTTTCATTTGAAAGAATACGCAGAAAACATATCTCTCACTATTGCTTGCTATAAAATTTGAACTTTTAATGACTATTTTTTTACTCCTTCTCAGTGCTTCTTCCCACAGAATTTGATTGCCAGTAAGATGGATAATTGAGTTAACATTTTTGAATTAAAGATCGTTAATATTTATGAATTAAAGATATGAAAGATGTCTGTGAGGCATTAATTATGGCCCTTTGCACCTTCAGTCTTCAGTCTGGCATGTGGGAGTAAGACTGTATCTTAGTGTTAAATGGAATATTTGATTTTGTGGAAGTCATTATATATACACTGTAGAACTAAAATATTTAATGTTAATGGAATAGATGATTTTATACAAAATTTATTTTGTGGTGGTTATAAAATCAATAAATTGATGCACAATTTACTCAACGAAGTTTCATATGGCAGTATAGTCTAATTTTTATTGGAGGTACTGAGAAACGTGCCTATCTGTGTCAAGTATTTATTAAAGATTTTTCAAATGTAATTGAACACAAATGTGTTATGTATTTGGTAATGAACACAAATGTGTTATGTGTTTGGCTATAAAATATTAATAGTCTAAATAATTTATTATCAATTTTAAAAATCATTAATTATTTTAGTAATACAAACTTTTTAATTTTTAATATTTTTATTATATTTTAAAAACAAAAACATGCGTATCACACTAATATCTATGCGAATATATAAGTAACACATCATTATCGTATGAGCGCACGGGTAATTATATCAAAATTTGTGCAAAGCACAAGTTATTATATTTTTATATATATTATTGATGTAAAATAATTATGTTAAAAGAATTTATTTTTATTTTAAAAATATGACTTTCTTTTGAACGTACGGATAACACACTAGTACCACGCAAACGCACGTGTAATATATCAGTACTGTGTGAGTACACGGATAATCATATTAAAATCTTTACGAACACATAAGTTTTTACATTTTTTATACAATAAAAAAAATATAAAACTTATGTCAATTCTACTACTGATTTTTCATTTATTTTAAACCAGAGTTTAAAATTTTATAAAGATAACTTTAATATTAATTCTTCTAGATCATTATCTTTTTAGATTTTTATGTAAAATTATTTTTCAACGGATTCTAATTTTAGATATTTTTCTCCTATTTTTTAAAAATATTTTGATATTCTACAATTTATTTGAATTTATATAATAAATTGGTGATAATTTTGCGATCCCTAACTGAACTCCTGCAGACGCACGAATTTTTCACTAATTTTCATCAAATATAATTAATTTTTTTTTCATAATATGATAACGTTAGTTTTTTGAAAAATTAATATTGATATATTTAATATTATATGTCAATTGTAAAAATACTCATATGAAAAAGATTATATATAATTGAAAAATAAAATAAAAACATATTTTTATAATCACTAATAGTATATTTTTAATTTTATAAATTATATAGAATTAATAAGGTGATACAATTATATGCAAATTTAAGAACAAAATAGAGTATGGAATAAGAAAGACAATTGAGTTTATACGCTTGAATCACTTTACAACTTATTTAACGTTTATAGCAAGTTATTAGTAAAGCTATTTCCAATGGTAATATTAAGAGAATAAACAAAATCAATTTGTCAAATACTTGATGTGCAAGTGAATTTTCAGAATTTTCCTTTAAGTTCTGTTTATACACTAAAGCACTTATAATCAAAAGTGATTATAAGCAATATCAACACTTAATGTAAATCAAAAATAGTTTGAAAAATTACTTACAATTAAATTGATGACACAATGATATTTGAAAAATTAATTAATAAATATTAAAGAAAGTAAAAGCAATAAGAAAAGAGACGTGAGGATTTGTCTTTACAGTTCCCCAATTTCATCCTCGCGTGTGGATAGATATGCGCCTAATTCCACCTAATTCTAATGGAATTAGGATAATTCTTACTATGCAAAAAGTTGATACAAGAGAAGTATTCAAGAGCAACTCCACAAACCCTAAGCTTGTTGTTGATTCAACCCCTTCTCCTCTTTTGATCTTGAGAAAGACCAAAACATAATAGATGCAAATTGACTATCTGAATCTTGCTACTCTTTTGCATTCTTTATTTCCAAAGCTTTCACGCACTGTAAATTTCAAGTATTGCAACAGAAGACCTCAATTATAATCCGATGTTCTCTCGCTACATCCTTTGCGTTCTTTATCTCCAAAGGATTCCTCGCGTTCTTTATCTCCAAAGGACTTTACTTGACCGTAATTACCTC